TGTTATATTACAACAACACATTATGTTACCACAAACACCTCTCTCCTCGTTAACTATTTGGTACATAAGCAAACTTGCCTTGGGGTGCATTACGTTACTAGCTAAGACTCCTACTATGACCAGCCTTATTGGTGTTCTCTCGCCTTTACTTTTGTATTTTTTCTTGCTTTTGTATTATTGTACTATACATGACACACAAATACAAGAGAACATTTTAGTCTCTTCTTTTTCACTTGAAAATCAATTATATTACAAGTCTCTCTTTTTATGTAGGACACCGAGGCGGAAGTCATGCCATGGGGGAAAACTGCTAGTAGATTTTTTTACCCAATTGGTCATGACATGCCATTTAGTTTATTTATGACCAATATGTTATGTTCCACAACCCATCTATGTCCTTTGCCACTCCATATTCTCTGTGTCATAGCCACAATCACACGGTTCGATGTGCAACAACAATATTTATTCGATGAAGGCAACTCTCATGCAATTTCCAGCGGTGACATGAAATTTAACAAAACATTGTCCATTTTTCTTAAACAGTGTTCCAAAAGCACACATTTATGTATCTTTGCAAAACTCAAAATAGCTCATTTTGAGGGTTTTTGCCCAATTTCTGTGGGCCCGCTCATCAGTGTTCTTTTTGTTCAATTTGTCCCTCCTAGTCGGCTCGTCACCTCCTTCGGCTTAATACCTAAATATGTGTTTTGTGTTTTCTGTCACCTGTGTTTCTAGCGCTTCTCTCAAAAATTTAGAAGAGTCATGACGGTGCCCTGTTCTCCCCTGCATGCTACCATTATGCCAACCCTCAACATCGCCATCAGTTGCCACCGCCCCAATCCCGTATGAGTTGGTTTTCATCTAGTGGTTAGTTTAATTCCACAGACCTCCACAACTACCAGGTGTGTCGCACACCCTGCAGATCCACCATTGATGTTTGGGTTTCATGGTGGTATGCTCACCATCGGCCAGAGAGAGAGAGAGAGAGAGAGGAGAGGAGCAAGAGGACACAGAAGATGGCGACATCACGAATTGCTTATTGGGGTCTATCATGTGGATGCGACAGCGGAATGTGCCATGGTGGTCCAGGAGGACCCTCAGGTGGTATGAGCTTCTAGCGTCACATGTGGGTCGACTGATCCAAGCAACTTGGAAGCCATTGCATATAGTGAGCTATTTTCACTTGATTTTGATCTTAACACAATGGTGGTTCAAGTGGCCACCAGTTGCTCGACAGTTCTCAAGATCATCGATGAAGGAAACTCTTATTCCTATGGTGCCATATCAAGGAGTTTATGGCGAAAAAAATAAATGTTCTAGCAAGTCTCTTTGCGTCATGAAAACGGATCGTGCAATTTAAGGCTCATGAAAATCTAAGGTTGTAGCTTAGAGTGTGAGAAGTGAAGCTGGCTCACCTCTTCTCAAAACATAATTTATAGCCCTATGAACAATATGCAAAAGAGCTACTCACCGGAACCCAAAGATTTTGATTTCTCATAAGGTCCCGGTTGCTTTAATTAAAAAAAGACAAAATACCACATTTTGAGTTTTCCCCTTTTCTAATTTAAATGATATTCTCAGGATCTATGCTGCTTGCTCTGGCCAGGCAGTCAACCGGGAGAAAAGTGCAGTTTACTTCACCCCCAATGCTTCTCATGAGTTGAGAAGGGATATTAAGCAAACACTTGGAATCGCTGTGGAAGATTTCACTGAGCGATATTTGGGTCTACCGATAGCGGTTGGCAAGATTATGAGTGGTAGTTTCACTCATATTGTGGAGAGGGGCAGAAACAAAATGCAAGGATGGTCCGAGAGAAACTTGGCATGTGCAGGTAGGGAGATCTTGCTCAAATCAGTGGTTCAGGCTATACCCACATTTAGCATGTCTTGTTTTCAGTTGACCAAGAAAGTTTGCTCGCAACTTACATCTCCGATGGCAAAGTATTGGTGGAGTAGCTCCATTGACCACCGGTCTTTGCATTGGGTGTCTTGGGAAAATCTCACTGCTCCAAAGGTGAATGGAGGTATGGGGTTTAGGGATTTTGAAAGTTTTAACCTAGCCTTGCTTGGCAAGCACAGATGGCGGCTGTTGACCCATCCCAACTCCCTATGCTCCAGAGTTTTGAAGGGAAAATATTTCCATAACTGTGATTTTATGGAAGCACAGGCGCCTCGCTCAGCATCGACGACTTGGAAGGCGATCATAGCAGGTCGGAAGGCGCTAGAATGTGGCTTGATCAAACGTGTTGGAAACGGTGAATCTATATCCACTTGGTCGGATAGGTGGATCCCAAACACAAGTACTCGTAAGCCAACTGGTCGGACTGGGGTCGATCTGATACCTCGGGTCTCAGAGCTGTTCGATCATGAGACGGGGTCTTGGGATGTCGAACTAGTCCGAAGGAACTTTCTACCATCAGATGGTGCGGCTATACTGAACATACCATTAAGAGCATCCGGAGGTGAGTATTTTTTTGCATGGGATTTGGAGAGGTCTGGTGTTTATTCTGTTAAGTCAGCTTATCGTGCTCTAGTGACTCATAACGAGCATTCTGCTCCAGAGGAAGGAACGATAACAAATCCATCATCGTCAGAAAAAACATATGTGGACTGCCTTGTGGAAGCTCAAGGTTATTCCCAGAGTAAGAGTGTTCTGGTGGCGAGTGTTACTGGGAATCCTCCCGGACTATGCTACCCTACATCATCGTCATATTCGTACAACGGCGATGTGTGATATATGCAAGACAACGACAAAAGACTTGCACCATGCGTTGATTGGCTGTTCTCATGCGGGTCTGTTTTGGAGTGCGGCTCGTGATTTTATGGGAGTCAATCTGCCGCTATTGAATTCGGGCACCTGGGCAAGAGATGTGCTCATGGATGATCAGATTGTGGACCATGACAGAGGTAAAATTATTACAGTCATGCATGCGATTTGGTCGTCGAGGAATCGGTGGACCCATGATCAACCAACTTATGATCCAGTTCACGCGATAAAAACTGTTCCTAATGATCTACTGCTGCTTGAATTTCCAAAGCCAGGTCGAGGCGTCTTGGGTCTCCAATGGTGTCCTCCTGATGCGGGATGGATTAAGATCAATACGGATGGAGCAATAAACACTACAACTTCATGCGCGGGAGGAGGAGGCATGGCGAGGTCTCATCTGTCGTTCATGGGAGCGTGGAGCAAACCTTTTCCGGGAGTGTCAGATCCTTTCGTTGCGGAAGTTCTGTCATTACGGGAAGGAGTTATCTTTGCACAACTACGTGGTTTCTCACACGTAGTGATGGAGGTGGATTGTTTAGAGGTTGTCAACCTCTGGTCTTCGCGTGATAGTTCGAGGTCAATTGTCGTGCCTATCTTAGATGAAATTCGGGAGAAGTCTTTGTCTTTTATTTCCTTTTCGCTTAGGCATGTGTCCAGATAGGTGAACACTTGGCCGATCTGTGTGCCAAGAAGGCTTCCGCCTTATTGGTTTCGGAGTGCTGGCTTGAGGACTGCCCTCCTTTCCTAGTTAACAGCCTGTGTAATTACATGCTACTAAGAGCCTATTTGGGACTGCTCTGCTCCTTAAAATTCAGCCCCGCTCCGAAAAACACAAGCCAAACGAGGTAGCTCCACGATATGCCGCTCCGCAAAAAAACTAGAATCTGGGGTACAACTCCTAGTTCTTTATGAAGCTCTTCAGGGGGTGCTCCAAAAAACTCTAGAAGCTAGAGTTAGGTGGAAATTACCCATCACTGCCACCAGTAAGTGGATACCCCTTCGTTTCTTCCCCCTCAACCAATCAAATAGATCTTTTCCACCAAATTTCTCATTCTTGAAGCTGGAGCTAGATGACAGCCAAACATTCTCTTTGGTTGTACTGTAACTTCTAGATGAAACTGCTCTAAAGTGAATTTAGTGAAGCGAAACCGATTTTTGTGAAGCGGAGCAGCCTCAAACAGGCTCTAAGTCAATAAAGCTCCCATAAGTTTCTGCAAAAAAAAAATCGTCTTGGGCCCACATGTCAGTTTTTATTTTATTTTTCGACCGACTTGGCCCTCCTCATCGGTCCGTCAACTGGTCTAGCTGAGCACCTGACAAAACACCTAAACACACGTTTGGACCTTTGGCTCTGTCTTTCCGAGTTCAGACCGTGTGCCCTTCTTCCCTCAAGGAAAAAAAGAAAAAGAAAAAAGACCGCCTTGACCGTGCCCTAGCTCTACCGCCGTCCGGCCCTTCACCGCCGACCGCCGACCGCCGACGTCCCAATCCCGCGCGAGTTGGCTTCAGCCAGCGGCTAAGTTAATCCCACCAGCGTGCCGCACGCCCTGTAGATCCGCCCCTGAGGATTAGGTTAGGTTTGGTGGCGGCCTGGTCGCCATGGGGCGGAGCTCGGGGGGAGAGGGAGGAGGAGGAGGAGAGGGGCAAGGGGAGGCGGACGGCGGCGGAATCGCAGACTGCTCGCCGGGGACCATCGTCTGGGTGCGGCGGCGGAACGGGTCCTGGTGGCCCGGGAGGATAGTCGGGCAGGAGGAGCTCGCGGCGTCGCAAGTGGTGACGCCCAGGACGGGGACTCCGGTCAAGCTACTCGGCCGCGAGGATGCTAGCATGTAAGCTTTCCTACCATTCCCTCTTCTATGTATTTTTTGCCCTAATTTATCTAGATTAAGATAAGAGATTGACCTAGGGTTAGCTGATTCTCTGTGCTATTCGTTAGATAAGGATTTGTTTGGTTCAGGAATGACATGGGAATACTTAGGCACTTTTTGATTCACAGGATTCACAATACGTAGGAATAGGAAAAATACAGGATTGGAGTGGCATGCCCACTTGAATCCTATAGGGTTCGCAGGACTCACAAAATGTAGGAATAGAAAAATACAGGATTGGAGTGGCATGCCCACTTTTTTGAATCCTGTAGGATTAGCATAGAGTATTTGATTTCACAGGGAAATCAAAGGAATTGTAAGATGAGGTTGGAGTGGATGCTGGATTTTCAATGAAATGCAGTAGACATTATTCCTTAGGAAAAATTCCTATAAGATTCGATCCTATGAATCAAACGACCAACACAGGAAAAATTCTAAAGGATTATAACCCTCCAAAAATCATATGAAATTCCTTTGGGTTGCCATTCCAAACGCTATTAGATCAACAAACGGGGTATTTTAATCATGGGAACAAACTTTTATAGATACTGCGACTTCCACATGTTTGAATAAATGATTGGATGTTATTTCGGCAATTACTCACTCTAGATTAATAAATGGGTAACAAATGCGAGTGCTAGGCTGAAATAAAACATGTGTGCCAGTCTTGGAATGGGCGTTGAATGAAATAAAAGATGACTAAAGTATGAAACAAAAGTTGATGTGCTGATTGGATTCTTCCATGGCAGTGGGATAGTCTTAAGAGCATTGTGGTAAATACATTAGTTTAGCCTTTTATGTTGTATGTTCTGTGATTCTGTCTATTGGATTTATGGTGTATTGAATTTGAATATTGTAGTCTGATGAAATTCTTGATTTTTTTTAACTAGAGATAATATATAGCTGGTAAACCAATCTATGAATCCTTGGCAACAAGCTCTATAACGAAGTGGAAAAAAGGATTGGTGGATGAATTGGTAGAGAAAAAAAAGAAGAACTAGATAGGCACTGGAAAAGCAAAGAAAGATTCTTTGTCCTTGAAAAATCATGCAAGAAGCGAAGCATGTAGATTTTCGTTGCACCAAAGTGCTCAACCAACCTCAAAGCTCAGTTTGAAACCCTAAACATAAGGCGGCGCAGAAGCACGGTATTTAGTCATCCCCGACATGGGCGTTTTCTGCTTTTATTCGCGACCTCATGAAAAATATGCATTAACCGGCCTGGCTAGTTATAGTGTGTGCCCAACACTCTTAACCTTGCCACCAAGCTGGCCACACTGATAAAAACTCGTGATAAATACCAAGAGAAACAATCTCTAAAATAAACTCTCTTGCCAATCAAATCTCACGACCAGTTCCTGCTTGGTGGACCCCATCCAAACTCATGCAATTCCATGTAAGAACCCTTGTATGCGTCACCCTTGATAGATCAGGTGGTCATGACCGTTGAAATAAAAGGCAACAAAATCTTATTCTATTCAAACCGACCAGATCTCATATTTCCTTTTAGATAGCTGCACCCATAACTATCTATATTTCTGATTAGAAAACATTTTTATTCAACCTCATGCACATGCACAACTAAGCCTCTTTCTCATATGCATGCACACATACGTGTTTCTTTTTTACGTGACTATGCTAGAGTCAGGTTCGCTTTAGCTGCTTCTGCTGTGATCGTACACAATCAAAGTCGTGGATACGTTGGACTTCTTCATGTCCAGCAGACTGCAGTCGGGCACGAATGCATCATCTTGTCACCTTCCTAATCAAATTTTTGAAAGGACTTTGGCTTGTAGACATCTCTGATTCTTAGGGTTCGTTTTCTACATCAACTTGTGGTGCACAAATAGCAGGCTCATACAGTCGATCAACAACGATTGTGGTTGGGGTACACATAGCCTTATCAGATTACATTTTCTTACAAGTTTCACTGACTAATTTCTTGCTTAGATGATTTTATTTATGTAGTAGTTTTCTAGTCACTATTAAATGGATCAGATTCTTGTTTATTCTTCTACTTATTCGTGGATCCCAAGTATGAAAGTATTTCTCCATCTAAGAGTAAGTACATAAGAATGTTAAAGAATTAGTTTCAAGTGAGTGTTTAATTCACAATGATAACAGGCAAACTGCTGATTGCACAGAGTACTCAGTATTACCTGCTAATGATTTGGCTTTCAACAGAGCTTACAGTTTGATTTCTGATTCTTTCTGTAATGATTCATTTCGTCCTCTCTTTGTCAGTGACTGGTATAACCTGGAGAAATCAAAACGTGTCAAGGAATTTAGATGTGGAGAGTTTGATGCTTGTATTGAGAAGGCAATGGCTTTTCAAGGAACTCCTGTAAAGAGAAGAGAAAAATATGCTCGTAGAGAAGATGCTATTCTTCATGCTCTTGAATTGGAAAGAAAGCAGCTTGCATTGAAGTACCAGAACCAAGGTTTCAGGGCAGATGACAGCTGCAGTACCCTCTTTGCTGACACAGGGAGGGAGTTTGACGACTTCCCTTCAGAATATTACTCAAGAAACAACGTCCAGGAACCTCAGTTGCATTTGCAAAGCTCAGCATCTCAGCAACGCGTAGATCTCAGCACTACTCGTTATAAAAGCAAAAAGAGTAAAAAACAGAAAGGGGATAACTCTGTTCTCCTTGGTAAAACAAAAGAGTGTGAAGAAAAGTTTATTCATGCTGGTTCAAAAAGAAACTTGTCAGGATCTCTTGCTCTGGAAGCTTCAGGGAACACTCTCAGTAATTACGTCAATGGCTTTTCCAGTTCAGGACATACGCAAGAAGGATCAAATGTAGAGAGTGGTGAGAAAAATACAGCCCTGAAAAAGAGAAGATTAGTGGAAGCTGTTTTTGAAGCATCTGTTGTCAAAAAACATGATAGATGCAGGCCACTTGCTCAAGTTGTACAGAGTAGCGTCAAATTTCCTCGCTCTTTTCAGTGCAATGATGATTCTGGAACTGTTGTAGTTGAAGGAGGTAAGGATCCTTTGCCTGCTATCTGTCAGGCCAAAAGAAGTGGTGCCACATACCTGTCTGCTGATTCTGGTGATGCACATAGCCGTGACTTCATACCTGTTAAGGAAACAATATTAACAGAAGCTCATCGTGAGACAGAAACTTACCTAAAGCAGGAGGATACTCTTCTCGAAGAGCAAACATTTCCGGACTTCGTTGAGAAGCATGAATCTGATCCTTCAATGAGTTTATGTTCAGATACTGAGACAGAAGATGATGCTGAACTTCTGCAAAGTAAGTGCCTCGTTGCTACATGCCTCTTCTTTGGATTTTGATTTTGTAAGACACAACAATAAATAATCATGCTCCTGCTTAGGTTGTCAAATATTGATGCCTAATGATATTGTAGGGATGTTGTAGGATCAATTATTGCCGATCATGCAATTATTTAGTTATGCGTTAGTGTGGGGCTGAACTGTTGCAAAAATCGAGTACAGCTCATTTCTACTATGCTACCTAGTGCTGTGTACATCTATTTTGTTGGTGCACTTCTTTTATGGAAGTTTGTTGATTAAACTCTGTGCTTTGAGATATGCTAAGTATACTTGATCATGTTTGTGTTTTGCTACAATAACATACAACCTCCACCTTTGTCTTGAACTTATGATGCTTGATTCCAGTGACTTCCGTAACATTTCTTACTGGATATTTGTCCTTACTTGATCGCATTCCCTTTGTTGATATTATTGGCAGGGTATGCTAAGGTACAATCCCTTGAATCAGATGCATGTGATCCTAATTCCCTCCAGGCTTCTAATAAGTCAAGGCATGCAAATGATATTGATGACGATGATGAGATGAACTTTTCTACTCATATTCCTCAACAAAACGTCTTACTAGGAGAGGATGGTTCTCCTGAGTTAGGTGTTTCCCAGTGGCATATGAAAGGTAAACGCAACCGGCGCACTGCAGTGAAGAGACCAATGGGGAAGGCGGATGAAAATCTGTCATTAGATAGCTCAAGTAGTTTCATGAAGGGGCTGCTCAAAATGACCAATAAAGGTGACTCTAAAGTTGAGATTATTGATGCGTCTAGCCATCAACCGTTTGGTCAAAGTTTTCCTGAGAACCAAGAAGGGTTGGATTGTGGTCATGATGAAGCAGATTTGGTTGACAAGGCCGCGAGTCATTCAGGAGTTAACAGATACTATGGTAAAGATTATCCCTTATCTTCAGAACCTATCAGAGATATTGGACGAAGTTACACTTCTTTCAACGACTCTGAAATTTCTTGCAAGACCTCTTTGCTAAATAAAAATGGCAATCAGATAACCTCTATTGGTCAGAAGGCATGTGGGGAAGGATCTTCATTGTATCAACAAAATCATGGCTCACATCTTGGTTACATTGGGCCGGTGTTGTTTAATGTTGACCTGAAGGTACAGGCTAACTATCAAGGCGAGCATGTCCCATTGGTTTCTTTGATGAGCAGACTGGATGGCAAAGCTATTGTTGGACACCCTATCCAAGTTGGAATTCTTGAAGAAGGTTCAATGGACAGGCTTATTTTGGGCAGTGATCTTGTTCTGGAAAATAGCACAGCAGCAGCACCTGCTTGGCCAACAGGCAGAAGGACTGCTATGCCAAGAGTCCCACGTTTGAATTCATCACGAGCAACCTTAGATGGCAATGCCACCGATGAGCAGGGGGTCAAGCATGCAAAGAAAAGCACCACCAGTGTGCGGAGGCCATTTTCGCAGAAATCTCAAAAGAAGCCCTCTGGCTTCAAGAAAGCAAGCTCACCAAGCCAGAAAACCAGACCCCTTTCATCCATTTCCATTGGGAAAACGCCTCACAGAGAAGGTGGTCAGGCAAAGGCACATAGGCGCAGCGATGTTCTGGGTGGTCTATTGAAATCAGATGAAGCAATTCCGCTGGTCACATGTGTCCCCGCAAAGGTTGTGTTTAGTAGGATAATGGAAGCAGTTGGCAGGCCGTCCCATGCTCTTGCTCACCGTGCTAGAAAGGCCAGTCCTGCGGTACGGGATCCACCGTAGGTCTTTTGGCTATGCTGGTAGTACGAATGGTTGGCATGGCTTGACCCGGCTCAGGCTTGCAGCTGTTGTATGTACATTTCCCAAAGTCCCAAACTGTCGATACCTCAAAACCGTTGTTGATCTCTGACTGTCCGCCCGGTGACTGGTGTGAAGACGGAAAACTGTTTTTGTGTTCAGATGCCGAAGCCTTGGCTGGGCAATCTGATGGAAGGAGCTTTCTTCAACAAAGGGGCAACCAGAGTGGTGGCCAACGTTTGGAACTGGCTGCCCCTCTCTTTTGTACTGTGAAGGTGCTGACTTTTGTGTTTGATCATGTATCTACATAGTTTACCTCTGTTGTTACATTACATACATAGCCAACAGCCCAACAGGTCAATAGTACTATGTCATATGTAGAAGTTTATATCCAGACTTTGGAGTCATTGCTTCACCTGTACAGAAGCATATGTAGGTTAGTGTGTGATACACAGAAGAGCGGCTTCAAATGTTGTGAACACAATCAAAGCTTTCCGGGCAACCTTATCGACCTCAGTATGTCAATAGTTACTATTACAGAATCTGCAGTGCTGTGTTGCTGGCATTGTTGCCATCGTCGTCGTCGTTTGTTGTATTTTTCTTGTTTGAAGCTGCCATGGTATTTTATATCTGTCTGTCCCCCGTGCAAGGTGGGACCAAGTGGTTATTACAAAGAATGTAAAAAATGTGGTTATTACATTCCCTACATCTTTCTGTAAAATATACCTAGGCCGAATCAGTTGGAAGATGTAAATATCACTAGTCTGTGTTTGTGTAGAGCAGCAAATACCTGGAAGTGGCGGACGTGTCTGATCTTGCTGTTAAAACATAGAGCGACATTTGAAATTTTGTGTTTGTTGCTGTGGCTAATTACCATGTGACTGAGTAAAATACTTTCCTTTCCTCTTCAAGGCCCAGCCCCCTTGATAACCTAGTGTTTTTCCCTTGTCGAATCCCCTTTATATATAAGCCTGAAATTTCGCAAAGTTCCATTTCCATTGCTGGTGTAACACGGTAGTGTCACGGCTTAGTTCACCTCCACGAAGGGCATGTGCCACTAACACAAACGATCTGTTTAAATATACCTAGGTTGAATCGGTTGGAAGTTGTAAAAGACCACGAGTCTGTGTTTGTGTAGAGCGGCAAACACCTAGAAGTGGCAGACGTGTCCGATCTTGTCGTTGTCAAAACATAGAGTAGCATTTGGAATTTTGTGTTCCTTGCTACGGTAATTACCTGATTACCATGTGACTGAGAGTAAAAGTACTTTTCTTTTCGCTCCAAGTCCCAACCCCCTTGATAACCTAGGGTTTTTTCCTTACCATATCCCCTTTATATATAAGCCCGAAATCTTGCAAAGTTTTATTTCCATTGCCGGTGTAACACGGTACTGTCATGACTCAGTTCACCTCCATGATGGGCCTGTGTCACTAACACAAACGATCTGGCAGGGAAGTCGAAACACCGTGACTCCATCAACGGTGATGGTATGCAACATCAAAGAAGAAATTCGTTTGTGGGTGCCCGGGGTGCTAAGCACTTCACTTGTGTAATGCCGCGATAGTGATGACTTTTTTTGGGGCCCTTTTTTTAATAATTTTTCATTCAAATCATGAAACAACACAAAGTAGATGATCGTTACAAGCACACTGAAACGCAAACACAAAGGACCATGAACACCTAAAGTACCCTAGAACAACCATAACACAAGAAGTCTCCGGAACCCCGTGTCATCATTCCTGAATCTTGAAAGAAGACTCCTGCAGCAGAAGGATCTGCAACAGGCACAAGCAGGTCATCATCTTCGATCACGATACAATTGCCGCCATGCTGCTTCCTCCTTTCTTGACACCAGTGCTGAGAGGGCATGGACATCAATCCAGCACACCTGCAATAGCCGTCGCCATCTTTGGCTTTGAGTACCGCGAAAAGTGTCCCTTCCGAAAAGAAGAGAACCCGAGTCATCCGACCGGTCCAGCACCGCGGCCGGGCCTTCCGCCCGGACAAAGCAGAATCTCCCACCAGCATCGGTGCAGAGAAAGAAGAAGAACAGCAGCAGCAAATCATACCAACAAGGAAGAAGAAGGGTCTTCGTCTCCCTGCATCCATCGTCCATCTGAGGACCCAAACGGCCGGTGCCAATGGACCTCCATCCACCATAGGCCGCGACCTCGATGAGATCCGGGGATCCCTCACCCCGCTGGCTCCTAGACGAAGGCAAAAACCTCGCCTGACCGTGAACGAAGCCCGGAGAAACTTATTCCGACGCGACACCACCGCAACGGCCTCGGCAGTGTCTCCCTCGACCCTAACCCTACCACACACCCACCAAATGAATAGACCCGAGGTTCCCTCTCCCTCCCGTCGTCGGAGGCGCCACCGGCGGCGCGCAAGGGAACCTTGTCGCCTGCCAATATAGCCTCGTGCGATCCTATTTTCCCGCTGCGGTCGTTTCGTGACCCACGGACACAAGGTTTTGCCACCTTTTTTCTTGCCTCTGTTGGACTTTGTTACAAACTTCTCTCTTAATTAATAAAATGGCAAGCCTTTTGACTTGTTTATATAATAATAAAGAAAAGAAAAAGACAGTTTCAGCGTTTCTTTCCAGATCGCTTCGGCCTCCTCTCTGTCCTCCGGAGACCAGGACTCCTCACGCTCACGGCCTCACCACTCACCGCTTCTCCCACCTCCTCCGCCGCCGCAATGGCAGGGGAAAGCACGGCAGCCACCTCATCGCTCGCATGCGCACCCGCCCCGGCGCCGGCAGACGCACTCCTGCCCACTCCGCCAGCCGCCCAGCGTCCCGAGCAACGCGACCTTGGGACTGGGAGGCTCATATGGGCGGTAATAAGCTGGACTGGAGGTTGCGCGGGGAGGCGGAGCCCGGAGCCGCCGTGCCTGGCGACATGGGCGGCGAGGTAAGAGGCTAGAACCCTAGAATTTTGGCACTACCTATATCTGAATCTGCCACTCGCTCTTCTTCTGAAAAAAAATCTGCTATTACCTGTTTCCTCTGCAGTTCCGTTTGTGGATTGCCCTCCTGCTGGCTGGATGTTAGGGGCAATGGATCCTGATCATCTACTGTCCTCTTTTTTACCATCTAGGTAGACCGGGCATGAGGTTTGGTTGTTTAGGTTCAGGCATCGACTGAACTTGGTGAATCCAAACTACTTGATGAGAAGACAAGTACTACTACTCGTAGGTCTGCATACTTTCATCTGAACTTTTAGGTGGCCTGTCACCTGTCAGGTGGTGAACTCAATCAATTATACCCATGAGCAATGGTCTGCATGATAATATTTCATATTTGGTGTAGGCACCAATATGTATATGTACAGACAAAGGCCAGCAGTTTAAAGCATCCCCTCTGGTATCCAGTGTTTGCTTGAAGCATCCACTTGACTTCAGGGAAGGAAATGAGATGGAAAGGGGAAAATGATAACAGGGAATATGGTCGTGCTTATTACTTAATGG